AACTATAAAACTGTATTTTTTATTGTGTAAAACATGCCATTGTAGAATGGCTCAATGGCTAACTCAACTGATTCCCATATGCATCACCTGTCATGTTGTCATGTTGTGGTAAGGACACTTACACCCATTCTCCCAGCATTTCTCCCACGGTGCCATTAACAGCAGACACTGTGTTACCAGGCCTTCCTCTTTTTTTTTTTGGTGATGCCAGAGATGGAATTCATCTTTAGTCACTTTGTCGCTGGGACAAAATACCTGACACCCACAACTTAAGGGAAGAGAGGTTTATTTTGGCTCATGTTTCAGTCCATAGTCGGCCTGTTCCAGGGCAAGAGAGCATGGCAGAGGAACCTAGTGGTCAGGGAGCAGAGAGTGAAGGGCGAAATGGGGGAGGGAGATGGATAAACCTTCCAGGCCATGTCCACCTGACCCACCTCTTCCACCAGACCCCAGCTCCTAACAGCAAGTCGGCTGTATGCCTTCCAAATCCAGTCCCCTTCCAAAAGCTCCACCTCTGAGCATAGGAGGCTTTGGGGGCCATGTAGAAATAAAGCATAACAGAACCCAAGACCTCCAGCCTGCCAAGCACACGCTTGACCCCCACCCAGGACTGTCCTATTGAGAGGGACAGAAGAAACAAAAGACCTGTGCAGGCCAGGGTCAGAGTTAGGGACAAAAGCAGAGGAAGGAAGACAGAGGCAAATAATTTATTCTTCACTTTGGTCAGTTTCCCCTATGTCAACTCTTCTTAGGGGGCAATCAGTTCCTCCTGGGGCAGGGGTAAAAGACCCATTTTCCTTTTGGTACTTAAAGAAATGAGATTCAGTCCCTTCCTGGGAAGGCCTGATATCTTCTCAATCCAACCACAATTGTGAGGAGGAGGCACATCACCCAGAGACCTACTCAATTCCAAGTTCAAAGGCCCTGCAGGTAACTGGATATTGCAAAAGGATGCTGCAGACAGGAGCCCCTAAGTGCCCACCCATCTTGTTGCTTTTTTTTTTTTTTTTTGGTACCGGGGATCGAACTCGGGTCCTTGCTTTCGAGGCAGGTGGCGGAACCATTGAGCTAAATCCCTGGCCCATGTTGCTTTTTATTTTTATGATTATTTGTTGTATAGGGGGTTGAACCCAAGGCCTTCTATGTTCTAGGCAAGCACTTTACTACTGAGCTATACCCTCAGCTCACATCTTAAGTAATTTTGACTCCTACAATCCAGGATGACAGAATAAGACAGATACCTGTTTGATCCAAACACTCCCAGTTGATTCTGTGAAGTCCATTTTACTGTCCTGTGGAAGTCAGGCAATGTTCTCATCCAGGCTTGGCCTGGAGAGGGAGCGTATGCAAGAATTGTATAAACTAAAACATTAAAATAACTTTTCCAGCCCCTTTCCAATAGCTACCCCATTCCGTTGTCCTGGAGATGCAGATAACAGCACACCCTCTCCCCAGTATCCTTCATGCAAAGGAAAATGTTGACCTTCTGCTTTACATGGGAGTTGATTATGAGTTTTGTTGTGCACGTTTGATTAGTGTGAATTGGGTGGCTCAGTTCCTAAGAACCAGATCCAGTTTTGTCTGTACCAGAAGATCTGTGCTTGCTCGTTTATTTCCTCATGCATTCACTCATTCATTGAGCACCTATTCGAGTACCAAACCCTGTGTAGAGCTCCAGATATAGAAAGAAGGCACAGTCCCTGCCCTGAGGAATCACAGTGGAGGGGATCCCTATATTAAATAAAGGGATGATATAGGAAACTTGTAAAACTAAAACTCTTCCTGTAACAACATGTTCTGTGATTTAAAAAACGAAACAAAACCACAGCTTCTTGGTGTGGGCAAACTCCAACCTCCCTATCACTTCTGTCGCCCAGTGGGGGCAGCATTCTTTTTTTTTTTTTGGTACTGGGGATCAGTGGGGGCAGCATTCTTGATTTGCTGTTGTCAGGGCGAATGACAAGAGGTCCAGTGCCCTTGAAGAGACTGAATCTTCTCACTGATGCAAATGAGAAAGGCATAAATTAATTCATTGAAGGCTGCTTAACAGCCAGGTTGCACAGGAGAGCCTTAGAGTGGTTGGAATGAAAGCATGAATGGATGTCTTAGTCCATTTTGCATCACTATAACAAAATACCTGCTGCTGGATAATTTATAAAGAAAAGGTGTTTATTTAGCTCCCTGGTTAGGAGATTCAAGAGCACAGTGCCAGCAGCTGCTTGGCTCTGGTGAGATACTCGTGGCTGATGCCATCCTGAGTGTGTGCAGAGGACACAGGAAGCAAGATGGGCCTGGCTTGCTCTTTGTAAAATACCCCAGCCTCACAGCAGCGAATCCAGTCCCATGAGAGCTGCATTAATCCCTTCCAAGGGTGATGCCCATGCCTTAGGCACTTTCCTTAGGCTGCACCTCACAAAGGTTTAATCACCTCAACACTGCCAGTGTCGCCAACACTGTATGAGTCTCAGGGAGCACACTCAAGGCCCATCTAAGCCATCCCACCATCTCTTAAACTGAGTCCTAGAAGGTGAGACAGGATTTCATTTCTGTGTTGTGGTCATCTTTTACCTTAACACCTTTCATTCATTCTTATAATTTCCCTTAAGATGGTCTCCTTTGTTTTCAGCTGACCCATGTTCATCCATCATGGCATCTCTACGAGGAAAGCACCAGGGGCCTTGCTACAGGACAGAAAGAACAGGGAGGCATGCCAGACCAGAGACCAAGCTGTTCACTGGTAGGAGAAAGGCTCCAAAGGCAGCACACCTGAGCTTCAACCCAGTTCCGCTCCCTTTGCTAGGGAGGGGATCCCTTTGGCCAGTGAGCCTGCGTTGGTGTTGATTTTAAGTTGGGGGTACTCCCACTTTTGGGCCTGTATTCTGGGTGGGGTAACACCATCTCTACTCCAGGCATGGTCTTGACTGCCGCCAGCCAGCACTCCCTCTCTGGTCCCACTGTTACTCAAGGCCAATAGGAGCAAAGAAACCTGTGCTGCGTATGTCTGGGAAGGAAAAGTGTCTGTCATCCAGGGGAACTTGAGCAGGAAACACGGAGCCCGGGAAACTGCAGACAACCCTTCCAGTCCATAGAGGAGGTCCTGGCCTGAGGCTGCAGCCAGTACTGGGGATGTCCTGGTCATTTTTCTAAGCCTGGATCAAGCCTGACCTAATGATAGAGCTATGCTGGCAACTGCTCAGTTCAGTGACTTTATCATTTCAATGAGTTTGAGGTCAGTTTTCTGTTTCTTAAAACATCTAAAGTCCTCAGTGATTATTGCTGATTGAGTACTGATTCCCAAAAAGATATGTCCACATTTTAACCCCAGGAACCTGTGCATGGGATGATCTTTTTGGAAAGGAGGTGTTTTCTCATGGAATTAAGTTACAGACCTTGAGATGAGCTCATCCTGGATTATCCAATGACAGAGGTCCTTGGAAGAGACACACAGAGCTGGCCATGTACATATGGAGATGAGATTAGAGGGATGCAGCCACTACCCATGGCTCCTGGAAGCTGGAAGAGGCAGGCAGTAGTCTCCCCTAGAGCTGTACGGTACAGCCATGCTGACATCTTGATTTAGACCTCTGGCCTCCCAAACCAAGAAAGGATAAATTTGTGTTTTCAACAACCAGCGTCATTTGTCACCAAACCTTGGAAAATTAATATAATGATCAACACACATATGGAAATCCATATTGACTTTTCAGGATAAATGTTTAACTTCTTTCTGTGCCTTTGCTATTTCCTGTCATTAAGAGGGCTGAGAAAGGCTAGGCTTAAACCAGGCTTCCCTGCTTAAATACTAACTTGGAGCTGGATGTGGAGGCACACACCTGTAATCCCAGCCCTTGGGAGGCTGAGGCAGGAGCATTGCTACAAGTTTGAGACCAGCCTGGGCTCCACAGTGGGCTCATTCCAGCCTAAACTATATTGCAAAACTCTGTCTCAAAAAGCCAAATAAATAAATACTAACTTGGTCCCCTCCTCGATGTGTGCTAGTTTGGATCTCAAATGTCTACCAAAACCCTGTGTGTTCAAGGCCTAGTCCCCAGGGTAGAGCTACCGGGAGGTGGTAGAACCTTTAAGAAGTGGGCCTGGGAGGAGATCTTCAGATGCCCTCAAGGTGGGTTTTGGGACCTTGGTCTCTTCCTATCTTCTCTTGTTCCCAGTCCTGAGGGCAGTGGCTTTCCTCTCCCACAGGCACCTTCTGTGATGAGCTGCTGACCGCAGGCCCCAAAGCAATGAGGCCAACTGAGCATGGGGTGAAGCCTTCAAAACAGTGAGACACAGCGAACCTTTTCTCTTTTTAAGTCGATTACCCCAGGTATTTGTTATAGTCACAGAAAGCTGACTAACACACGGTGTGAGTTGAAGCAAACTAATTAACCTCTGTGCCTCCTGTTCCTCATCTGTAAAATTGTTAAATGAGAATTAAATGAATGAATACATGTAAATGTTTAGAACTGTGAGCAACACACCTATTAGTTATTATGTATTCTCCCTTGTTCTTCAGCAATTTCCTTTCCTCATCATAATGCTGCTTTGTGGTAATGAGTCCCATTTTGCTCCTGAGATTTTTTTTTCATTATTACTTGTGATTCATTCACCTCATTATGCTTTTAAGCCATTAAAATGGGGAGAATGTCACTCAGAAGACCATGAACAAACCAAGCCCAGTGGGATCTCACTTGAGAGCCAAGACTAACAATCATCAAGTCGAAAGTCAGCTATTAGCAGAATAGAAAGACAAAGAATCTGATGTAAGTAATAAGCAGCTCAATACCCAGGGCTCTGACTACACTCAACAGACTTTCCTTTGAAATGCTTGTTTCAAAGGGTATAAATAATTTAATTGATTTTCAAAATAATTGACCAACTTTGGACAGCCACTGGCATGTTTGGTTCATGGAATGGATCAGCTGGGAAAAGGAAGGAAGGGTGACTGTGTTTAAGGAACCCTCTGATTAGCTCACTCTCCAGATTTCAAAGACAGCATTTGTTCGGAAGGCAGTCATTGTCTCTCTTCAAAGGAGTTTAAGAGTGGGCCTTCATGTAAGAATCATGGGACTCAGGCTGGCACATCACTTTGTTCCTTCCTGGCAGCTTCAGAAAGTGTTTCATTGACTGCAGCTTTCCTTCCTCACCTTGTGAGCAGATAAACAGCCCTAACTCTGCTGTGTCTACAGGCCTGCCCATTGGAGACGGGACTATCTCCTTTTCTTTCCCCCTCACTGTCACTGCAGAAATGGAGGGAGCGTTTCTGCTCCCCAAGCCAACACCTTTATAACATTTTCAAAATCAGCAGTCTCTCAAAAAGCCAGGCTTGGTGGCACTTGCCTCTAATTCCAGCACTCTGAGAGGCTAGGGGAGGAGGATCGAAAGTTTGAACTCAGACTGGGCAACTTAACAATTTAGCAAGACCCTGTCTCAAAAATTGAGAAAGGCTGGGAGCATAGCTCAACGTGAAGGCCCTGAGTTCAATCCCTAGTACACACACACACACACACACACACACACACCTCTCTGGGGAGAATCAGAGTGGCTAGCAGCATTGATTTGATTTATGCAATATTAGATTTAACAAATGGAGATGTACCCATGGCCCTCACCTCAGAGCTTCATGGGCAATTCTTGAAGCATATGTGAATAAAAAAGATTGCTAGCAGCACACGCACACATACAAAAAAGGCCTAATTTGTTGCACTATGATATTGTAATATATAGGGGCCCTTATTCAGTAAGAACAGGTGAATTACTCATTTTTTTTCTTTGACCTTGGGAAATTTTGGCTTCTCTCTTTGACACGGCCTCCAGTGTGTATGTTTTCAAGATCCAACAGGGAGGGACCTTTTTTTGGGGGGGGTTCTAGGGATCGAACTTGGGACTTTTCGCTTGCAAGGCAGGCAGCGGAAGCACTGAGCTAAATCCCCAGCCCTAGGGAGGGACTTTGAAGTAACATCTTAGTCCACTCTGTGTTGGTAACCACACAATACCACAGACTGGGTAAGTTAGAAAGAAGAGAGATTTATTTTGGCTCTCAGTTCTGATCCAAGGTTGGGGCTGGGGCACATGTGGCATGGGCTTCTAGCTGGCAGAGAATCGAAGTGGCATAGGCCATCCCATGGTGAGAGAGGAAGTGCTCACACGTGTCTGGTTTCCATGTCTTCTTACAAACCCACCAGTACTCAATTATGGGGGAGACCACCTCTAACACCACAGTCTTCCCTCTTCATGCCTCATAGGGGGACAAGATAGCATGACTTTTGGAGGGGACAAGCCAAACTGAAATCAGCAGACACCTTGTCCCATTCTCCCAGAAGCCTCAGCACCAGGCACCAGCCACAGGTTCTCCTGCGCTGAGCATTACCTGAAGCACAGGGAAAGGGGAAGGAAAATAAAGAAGGAGGGTGAGGGCTAGCGAGAGGGAGGGGGGAAAACAAAGCATGATAGGGAGAATGAAGAAAAGCCTTCTAACAAATCCAGTACAATCATCTGTTTGGACTTCATTGTAATATTATTCGAGGAAAAAATGAATGCAGGATTAGAAAATAACCCTTTTCTAGAGAATATAATTCTAAAAAGAAAGAAAGATTATCATATAGAGATTAAAAACTCCCCCTTTGGGACAGGGATTTAGCTCAGAGGTGCCGCCACCTGCTTCACAAGCGCAAGGTTCTGAGTTCAATCCCTGGTACCAAAACAAAACCAAAAAAAACAAACAAGAAAAACCTCCCCCTTAAACTGTTCTCACTCTTCTTGCCTTTTCCTTGGGCTGAGAGTGACCATTACAGAACAAGAGATAGTCACCACTTCTCAGGAAGCCTGAGGTCTAAAGTGTTCCTAAGTATTTCCCCATCTGTGACTTTCTCCTCTTGCTGGACTGTCCCCTGCCTGGTGTTCTGGGCAGATCAGAAGCAGAGGGATACGAGAAACCCAATGTTGTGGCTTTACCAAAGGCAGCACATGGGGGCTGGGAGACTTCCAGCCTGGCTCAAAGCTACAGATCCTTAATTTACATGAACAAGATCCCAGGTGATTAAAATTTGGAAGGCGCTGACAAGTGAGGTGGAGCTCAGACAAGTGAGGAGTAAGAGCTGCCACGTCCAGCGGGTCTCTGCACTGACTGTTTGGGTGCCTGGGGTTGGAGACGACCTTCACACACCCTGGAGCGAGTGGAATCAATGCAGGATTTGAGCCCAGATCAGGAAGAGAACCAACTCTTCTGGTTGATGCAGCACTGCTGGGAGTAAGGCAGACAGATGCCAGGAGAGGTCAGCAAAAGGACCCGGCACAGCATCAATTAAGAGAAATGCTGAACATCCACCCCTTTGCTGGGAGCACAGCAGCAGGAGGGTGAGAAAGAGGAGACAGCTCTGTCCTGGCAACAGGAAATTGCCCTGGGAAGATTGATTTGCGCATAATGCAGTGTCATTATGAGACCAGGAGGATGGAGGTTGAGTCTTTTATGCACAGTCGAGTCACCCAGGTTGCCCGCCCCCTTTCACTTAGCCTCCTGTGGCTGAGTGGAGTCACAGGCAGTTGCACTTAAATAATTGACCCTCAAGCCTAACTTTCTCAGAGGCTCTGGGGTGATCTTTTATTGATACAAAATAGATCTCTAGGGCAGACAAATGCTCTCCTACAGAGCAGTCTGGGCAGAGGCTTCTTGGGGCAGACAGGGAGGACAGGGGGCTGGGGTGAGAGCCTTCAGGTACCTGAATGCCAGTGGGGAGGGCACTGCCCCGGGTGGAGCCTCCCACCATGGTAGAAATGCATGATCGTGTCCCTGCTTATTCCCCTCTCTAGCAGCGTCATCCTGGGTCTTGGTCACTTTCTTTGTTGCTAAGACACAATACTGGACACCCACAACTTACAGGAGACACTTTCAGTTCACGGTCAGCTGACTCCAAGGCAGGAAGGCATGGTGGAAGGGTCTGGTGGAGGAAAGCTCAGCTCACCTCATGGTGTGGAGGAAGCAGAGTGAAGGGAGGAGCCAAAAAGGGAGATAAACCTCTCCAGGCTATGCTGCCTCTAACCAGGCCCTGCCTCTAACGGCACATTCAGCTGCCAACTCATCCATGGATGAATCCACTGATGAGTATAGCAGCCCCAAGATCCAATCACCTTCCAAAAGCCCCACCTCTGAATACCTGAGGCTTTCAGGAGATGTTCTAGATGTAAACCATAACATGCTGGTATTCTTTCCTACAGCTGGAGAAACAAAAACATGGAGAGTTTATGTGACTTGGGGCAGCCTATAGCTAACAAATGGCAGAGGTGGTGTTAAGGATTGAATTTTGTCTTCCCAAAGAGATATGTTGAAGTCCTCACCCCCACCGTAATCCCTTAGAATAGAACCTTATTTGGAAATAGGGTCATGTTTATGTAATTAGTTAAGATGAGGTCATACTGGAGGGGGTTAGGCCCTTAGTCAAATATGCCTGGGGTTCTTTTGAGAAAGAGGAGACCCGTGAGAGACGGCCAGGTGACGATGGAGGCAGAGATTGGAGTGAGGCAGCTACTAGCCAAGAAATGTCAGGATTGTTGGCGAATCCCAGAAGCTGAAAGAGTCAAGGAAAGATTCTTTCCTACAGGGCTCAGTGGGGGCAGGACCCTGCCAACACTTTGATTTTGGACTTCCAGCTTCCGGAAGTATAGGGCAGTACATTTCTGTTGTTTTAAACCACCCAGTTTGTGGTGCTTTGCTCTAGCAGCGCTGGGAAATAAATACAATTGGGATTTGGGCTTTGGCCTACGGAGCCCCAGCCAGCTGTGCTCCCACTGAACTCAACCTGCAGAACTGATGTGGACAAAACCATTTGGGAGGCTGGGATGGACAATGTCCACACTCACAGGCCAGCTCGAGCCCTCCCATGCATGTGGTTGGATGGTGGTCCAAAGTCATGGTGAGGAAGGAAGAGGCTTCTAGAAGGGCTTCCAAGAGTAAGCTGGCACCTTGAAAAGGTGATCTGCCTTTTCAAACTCCTCCCTCAAGGCGCCTTCAACCTCCATGATCTTATAAAGAACACAGACAAGGGTCCCATGGCAGCAGCCTCTGTTTAAAAGGTGTGAACAGATCACCTGGGTCAGGCGTGGTGAGTAATCCCAGTACTCAGGAGGCTGAGGCAGGAGGATCACCATGAGTTCAAGGTCAGTCTGAACTACATAGTGAGAACCTGTCTAAAAAAAACAGAAAGAAAGAAAGAAAATACCAAACCAACAAATCACCTCGAATCTTATTAAATGCAAATCAAGAATTTTAGGTCTATGTGAAGCCTGAGATTCTGCACCCTTGAGAGGGGGATTCCTGTTCACAAGATTTACTGAGGGTGCTCTCGGGAGAAACTGGTGAGGGGGAAGATAAGGTTTTAGGAAAAGTCCAACTCAGTATGAGGAGGGCTCTGGAGCAGAAATCACCCTGGTGACCTGGTTCCCCCAAAAGACAAGG